AATAATCTCAAAACCACGTGAGAGCAACTCCTTGAATTCCATAAACTTGAAGCTTTTAAATCAAAATATAGCGTATCAAAAGCTTTTGATAAATCCATCACAATTCCCATTGCATGTTGGTTTTTTTTTGTGTTGCGCAAACCTGCTAAAAATAGCAAGCTCACACGTGGTGGTATATAATATATTACAGAACTTCCTGGTAAAATCCCCAGTTTACCAAAGTGTAAAATGTCAAGTAGTGATGTCAGGTAAGTTGTGCGACCGCGAATATGTTCACTAGGATCGACTAAGTATGCTATCAGGAGTATATATTAACAAGGATAATTTTCAAGGGACAGTTCTCCGATGATTCCTTTGGTTTGTAATTGCCTATGGGAAAAATACATCACATAGTATCGATACAAACTGTTTGTTGTTGTTTGTTGCTCTTGTTGGTATTGGCTTGATGGTGGTGTTTGTTGTGGGTTTTTTTTTTATAATAAAACATGAACAAAATCGGGGTAGTCATTCAATCTCTTTGTTATAATGGGTACTGATCTTCACCGATCTTCTACTATTGTTCGTTTACATGACATGAGTGTGGTATTTTCTTGCTTTATCTGAAGGTACAACACCGTTCAGCAGAGGGGGACTACCGTGGCGCCGCTAAAGCATCTATTGAAGCGGAACGTTGGTGCAAAATCGGATTTTCGTTTGGTTGTATTTTAGTGGTTGTTTCTGTACTTGTTGGCGTTTTGTCTTCCACATTAGGGTCATCATCTGGATCCTATTAGAAAAATGGAGATGAAAAGAAGGAGGAGAAGGGACCATGATAAGATAGGAAGAAGGGCAGCGTAGTTTAGAACCCAATTGTTGGATCTCAGTCAGTTGATTTCACGACCACAACCCTGACTTATATAGAGTTAGAAACTCCGCCAATGGACCCCTTTTTATCTTCAGGTATTTTGCAATCGGGAGAAAGAAAGAGAAAGAACGAATGGGCCAGACAGTATCCTCTTTAAATGTTTACTGATGCGTGTTACAATACGATACATAACATAGAATCATTTTTTAATCGGAAGAAAATACTTTAATATAAATAAGATGACAGCACTATATCTTTTATCATTTTCGGCAACGGGATGGCAATTTCTAATTCTAACATCATTATTCTGAATTTGTAAATGAATACAATATTCATTGTAATGTCCTAGACTATTTTTCGATTATATCGGCTATACCTTTAAAATGGAAGCATATTTACAAATACCTACCGAAGGAAAATATCAATTACCACGAAGATATTATTTGCAGCATTAATTTTTTTTTAATCTAAAGTCAGTAAACTAATTCATGAATTGAATGTTGACAAACTCTTGAAGTTCCAGTTTCCCAAGAAAGGGAAAGGTATTCTATCCAAGTCAGTTGTTAATTGGAAGTTCAAAATAACTCAAAATATTCTTGGTGTCAATAAGTATTTAAAGACTATTAGTATACCCCATTCTGATTTATGTACTTTTTGTTCAGAAGACATTGAATCTATAAAACACTTATTTTGAAATGTCTCGTAACTCGTTCATTCTTAGAAGATTTAAAAAATATATCCTGCAAAATTAAATTAAGTTAACATGCAATGACTTCATTTTTGGTATCCCATGTGAAAATTATTCCGTTTTTAATTTTGTAATTTAGTATGTAAAATATTATTTATTTTCAACTAGACATTTGAAGGGATCTTTATCATTTCCATGTTTTCAAGAGAAATTGAAATATCACTATGAAGTTGAACAAACAATCTATGCACAACGAAATAGGTTTAATTCTTGATAGATGGAGGTAGGTCTAATTTATCTAAATACTAGAATATTGTTTGTCATTGTACCTTTCTTTGTAAAATGTATGTATCCATCTTTTTGTTAATTTGCTTATATTGTTTCATGCTCTGAGAAAAATTGAATACATTCTTTATTTGAAGAACACAACGAAACGCGGACCAATGTCTTCTATCACGATACAAGAAACACGATATTGGCTGATGCAACTTGACTTCTGTATGTACACTCGTTTGATCGCTTTCTTTAAAGATACTATGTATATGCGGTCCTTATATTAGATCATGAATATGCATGTCAGTGAACGTCCAATGAGGAGAATGTTCATTACCTTGGGTAAAACCCGAGAATAACCTCTATGAGTGTGAACAGACAAGCGGTCCAGGAAGCGATCTTCTGGACCGGAGACCACCTGACGATGTGGTCTTCTGGACCTGCTCGCTTCCTAGATTGCCCCAGACCGATCTAGCGTGCAAGTGGCAACATAAACCGTGCCAGGAATCGATCTTCTGGACCAGTTCACTTCCTAGATCGCCTCCAGACTGATCTAGCGTGCAAGTGGGAACATAAACCGTGCCAGGAAGCGATCTTCAACCGGAAGTGAGTGTGTTTTGGCGGGAAAGTAATGCAAGAGAGAAAGAAAGAGATTACAGTACAAGAATAACATAAAAGAATAATATAAGGAAACATAGAGAGAAAATGATAGAATGATAAAAACACAGCATAACATAAGAGAAGATGATAACAGGAAGAAATGAAGAATAACATAAGGAAAGACAGAAAGAAAAAGTGATATAATGATACAAATCAATGAATAACATAAGAGAAGGTAATAGAAGGAAAAACAAAAAAATAACATGAGGAAAGACAGAAAGAGAGAGTGATAGAATGATAAAAACAAAGAATAACATAAGAGAAGGTGATAGAAGGAAAAACAGAAAAATAACGTAAGGAAAGACAGAAAGAGAGATTGATAGAATGATAAAAACAAAGAATAACATAAGAGAAGGTGATAGAAGGAAAAACAGAAAAATAACGTAAGGAAAGACAGAAAGAGAGAGTGATAGAATGATAAAAACAAAGAATAACATAAGAAAAGGTGATAGAAATAAGGGAAGGTAGGAAGAGAAAATAGGAGCGAATTATGTGGCAATCAATTTGATCAATATTCTGTATAATGTTATTGATATTTATACTACGTTAACTCCTATCAAGGATATAATAATGTGGTGACAATCATAACCAATTTTATGAACTCGTCATCATAATTTATTTTGTATTAATTATACTTATTGGCTGTGTGAATTCATTTAAATGGTTATATACCTATACAAAGAAAAGCATAGCTCTGAAAGGACACTAGTTCATGCCAAAGCGTGTCGATATCTTACATATAATAGGAAAGAAATTAAGCATAACACATCACATAATTAATGTCGTTCTAAAATTGCATGCTGCCCTCTTGTGGTTCAGAACTATTAATATCTGTTGTCCTCTCCCTGCACCAGACCAAGAGCTCAATAAAAAAATTCTCAATGAACTTGTGAATATCTGTTTGGAGGGTTTTCTTAATGGCAAAAAACCAACATCTATTATATTGGCTGATCGAAATATAACTTCGGTGAAGCTAAAGGGGTAATGTGCCCTCTCAATCCATTTGTGTGGAGGTAAGAAGGCAGAGAAAGAGAAAAAAGAGAGAAAGGGAGAGATAAGGAGAGTGAGAGAGAGAGAGAGAAGAAAAAAGGAGAGGGGGAGAGAGAAAAAGAGAGAGAAAGAGAATGAGAGAGAAGGGGAGAAACAGGGAAAGAGGGAGTGAGAGAGAAAGGGAAAGAGAATGAGAAAAAGAGAGAAAGAAAGCGAGTGACAGAGAGAGTGACAGAGAGACAGAGAGAGAGAGAATGATATTTTCCAAATAATTGCCCCTTCTCCTTTTTTTTATGAATGTCCCTTTTTACCTCTGATAATTGTTCCTATCCAAATCTTATAAGTACCTCTTTTACACTTTTGATGAGTACCCCTTTAAAATGTGATAATTTTCTCCTTAGAGTTCCTTTTCATAAGTTCCCCTTTTCCCTATATTTCCCAATGTCCATTACAAATTATGCCCTTTTTCGGTCATCTTAAGAGACAGATCCAGTTTCAAAGAATCGAAACAGTTTGTGTAATACCAGGAACCCTTTGCTACCACCGCAATGGAAGTCAGGTGAGCTGGAGGAAGAGCGAGGGGGGGGGGGCACCGTACACACATATCACTTTCATAAATACTCGTTTACAAAGCTATTAAATCTAAATTCCTAAAAATGAAAAAAAATAAAAGGTTTGTCCTTTTTACACCGAACAGTTTGCCGCTTTCATAAATACTCGTTTACAAAGCTATTAAATCTAAATTCCTAAAAATGAAAAAATAAAAGGTGTGTCCTTTTTACACCGAACAGTTTGCCGCTTTAAACTACCACGACATTTTTATATTCAAATGCTAAAAGGTGACATCCAACCTATCATCCTTTAAGCCCAAAGCTCCTTTCATTTTCCTAGAATGCCAATCGAGGATATTTTAAACTCAAAAGAACTGTATAACTACCCTATATGCTAGGACAAGGTGTTATTATCACTCCTCATCTCCCGAGTAACAATACATTTCTCATAGCCTTCTGATGCTTATGGGCCCCTATTTTATAGCGACTGAGTGTAACTTTGCTCTAATTTCTTGCAAGAAATGATGGCTCGCTACGTTCCCTCGCATTATTGTTTATTTCATTAATGAAGTTCTTACTCTATGGTTCAAATGCTTAAAAACCCATCAGCGTCTGGGTTATTTCAACTAATAATGAGAACAAGTCCGTCGCAATGTGACGTATAAATCTGTTAAGAAATTTGCTCGCTAGCTTATGAATATTGAGACCATCACACACACATCAGAGTATGCTGCTAAAGCAGATTCTTGGTCGACGTGAACAGCACAAATTAATGTTATGGTCATCCTCGATGAGGAATCCATTATACAATGTATAAAGATTGCAATCTCTCGCTTTGAGGCTACCCTTTGTAAGTGCTTCCCTTTTTTTTCTCGAGAAAGTGTTTTTATTTTTGCTGATACACCCCTGCTTTGAAAAAATCAACCTTTGTACATGTTTTAAGCAATTCCAGTATTAATACAAAATGCACAATTTCACACTCTGTGCACACACAAAAACATGGACAAGAAACGGTTATTATTGTGTGAAAGCCATTGTCATTCTACACGCTATACCCATTCAAGTGCGACGTATATCAAACACAGTTCAAATCACCTCTCTCGCATAGTCACATTGCAACGTTTAGTGTGAGTGGAGAACAATCATCAGGATGGCACTTGGTAAGACATGGACTTTGTATTTTATCTATTTGATTTGAAGTTATAATGTTTTATTATGCATGTTGTTGACTTTGGATGTTCGAACATGAAGTTACGTAGATTCGTGGTTCAGCTTAGGCGCCTTGGATTAATTCGAGTGGCAGTAAACACGCGGCTTTATGCAACGCGGCCTAGTTTGCGTGAAAGCCACAATCGTCCGCACCCCTCTATTCAAAGGCCGGATGCGAAAATCCCGTGTAAAGGTGCGTCCGCTTCAACGACTTAAGAACATAGCGTGACCTACTCATAGTGTTTTCAACCGATACCAGTTGACCGCCCTCTATAGTCTGCCATGTAACTCTCAAACTATGCAGGGGCCGCGGAAGCGGGTGGCTGGGTCTTTTTTTTTAGTAGACACGTTTCATGTTCAGACCTCCCCCCCCCCCACCCTACTCTCAAAAACGCTCAGCGGCCCCTGCTTTTTAGGGTCAGAATTCAGATTCCCTTCCTGAAAGGGATAACTTATTAATACAAATTATTTATCACACATTTATACAAGTCATACATTAATGCTTTTTCTTCCTTTGATATGTTTCGCTTTGTTGTAGCTTCATTTGTCTCGTTTTCGTTTCCAAACTTCATTAATCTGTGTTGGGTTATCTTAAACAATATTTGACTTCTGGAACATTTATAAACTTATGGGCAATACGCTTGACTAATCATGAAAAGATTGTTTAATATCTATAAATGAATGGCGCAAAATATGAGCTTTTTAAATGAAAGCGCCGTAAAAAAATAAGTAACAACAACAGCAGCAGACTTCATTTTTTCTTTTATCCTCAAGCGAGGTTTTTTTCAATACATATTTACATTAATTACTCAATGATTGAGTGAAACGAGTGAAACATTACATACAAAATTAAAGTATACACAACAATTCTACCAGCTTATTATTATTTTCTTTGATTGCACAATCATGCCTACAAAAAATCTTACCAACGACTCAGTCTAGACAATTGTTTTAACGTAACATTTTATCAACGAAGAAAGATGGATATTATATTTAGAGTTCAGAAATAAACAATATGAAATGAAACAATAGGAGTGATCGAGAGGAAGGAAAAAATCAAAGGTTTGTCCCCAGGTATATGAAATGAAAAGAATCTAACACAGTTACACAGGTAATAAACAAATTTAAAATAAGTGGTGAAGTGTGACGTCATCATTAATCTATGTTTTGAATTTCTCAATTTTTCTTAATTTTCCGAAAGAGCATCAAAAATAATGTCCTAATATTTATAACAGTATTGGCTGAGATATGACCATCTGAATAAATATATTTCCTATGGGAACTCAGTGTTATTTGCTCTGGCTCCTAATGATTTTATCTCGGACATTCAACGTTGCCTTTGCCCAACTCCGCGCATTAAACAGTACTTTATTGATTAGACACCCTCCCCAGTCCCCCCCACCCCCTTCCCCTCTCCCCTCTCTATCAAACTCGCCTTTCATGCTATGGTAATACGTTGCGTTAACATTTTATGCGCCATTATGTTAGTGATTGTGATAGATTTTGAGCGAAAGAATGGTAATTAGATGGGAAAAAAAGTATTAAATAGGGAAACAAGACACACAAAATCATATTGCCAGTTGAGGTTGACATGAAAGCAAGCGAAGGAAGATGGCTTTCATATTTAGAGTTCAGAAATAAACAATATGAGTGAGAGGGGTTGGAGAGACAAAAAGTTGGACGAAGTCTGTACTGTATTCATCATTATCATATTTGTCTCTCTAATCCCCCCCCCCTCCCCTGGGCTCTTTCTTTTTTGTCTTTCTGTTCTGTTTGTTTATGTATTTTCGCCTAAGTATAATGTCCGACGTATATTAACACCTTCAATATAGCATAATAAACATTTGTTGTCATGTCAGTTTGATGCAACAGAGATTTATATTTAAAAGTTTACTTCTGATAATTATTATTGTACTGTTATATTCTTCTCTCCGTTCATTTTAGCTTCTTCTGAATGTTTACGTTATATTTCTTAATCTCTTGATGAAATATTAACACCAGAAGCTAGTATTTAGTGGATGCAAACAAAACATTGCAACTGATGGGTTCGAAAATCAATAACATGAATAGACTTCCTGCTTTTTCACTGCAGATCATAACAAAGCGAATGAAAATGAGCAGACCGTAGTTCAGATAATCCGGCTATTGTTTTCTTTCATTGGAATAATCCCCCAGCTCCATCTTCACACACAAACAGGCCGGTGAATGGGTTTTTGTTGTTGTTGTTTAGCAAGTCAGTTTATGACCATTATTGCCGAATACTATGAACAATTTGTTTTGAATTCAAATTCAAGTATTTATACTTACATTATATGCTTGTATAAATAAACATGAATAATCTACACAAATATATATATAAAATGATTTTCTTTGGTCACGCTTTGCTTGAACTAGATTATGATTGTACTATGTCCATCGTACAGACATAATGAATTGAATTTGTACTTTCTTTATATTATATTGTTTTCTATAATACAAGCTTGAATAGAAACACATAATAAATACTTGAATTTCTATAATATTATTCATTACTTGACTGAATGGCAAAGTGATCGCGATCAATATCAAGTCATACATATCATGTGCATTATATAGTTCATAACGCTTTCTTTCATACAAGTACTCCAACAAAGCTCCAAAAGCTTATTGACAGATGTTATATACATCGGACATTATACCAAAGCACAAAAGGGTTATCTGTAGAAGAAGGTGGACAACATTATAAGAGAAAGAATAACGATTTCTCTTTTATTTATACAAACATTAACAGCATAAATACCCTTACAAAAACAGAATAAATCTTGAAGAGAGAGAGACAAGAAAAATGTTAAAAGGACCCAACAAATAAAAATAAATAAATAAGAAGATTCTAGAGCGGAAGATGATGGGGAAAACGTAATAGTTTGGTAGTATTGGCAAATTTTGACAATAATAGTTTGTAAGTAAATTAACAAAGTAAATACAAACAAAAACGACACAAAATATTTGAAAGATTTTAGAACTACCGGTATATAGAATGATTATACGAAAAGAGTTGTATCTGAGGCCTATTTACATCTATGTTACGTAAGAGAAACAATGAACTTGGGCAAAGGTAGAGTTCGTTGTCATGGTTGTAAACTCGAACAAAGGAAGGGCGGATTATAAGGTACTAGGGTGCTTGCCGTCATGAGATTTCTTCAGGGCGAGCGCGGATTACGCTGCTCCCAACGAATTACCAGCAGTATCAGAATTTCATATGAAAGAAAAATGGACATGCTTATGAAAAAAAACACGATTATAATGAATAATATGAAAGTATAACAAACAGGAGAAATTGGTAATGTTAGTTTATATGTTGCACGATTGGAGAAATAAAGTATCTTGAATCTTGTGCAAGAGTATTGATTTATCCTAATAAGATTTTTTTTGTGATGTGAGCAAAATTAACGCTAATTTCTAAACGAATGTCAATGATTTGTTACCTTCCTTCCATTACCCCCACCTAACAACAAACAAAGAAAAGCCGGAGACACATTCGTATACTTGGGGGAGGGAGGAAGACAAAAAATGTATAATGAGTGCAGTTTTCACATTTTAATGAGATTTATTGAATGGAAGAGTAAAATCAACCCAAATTTTTAAACGATCATAAACGAATTTTTATAATTCATTGCTTTTCTTTTCATTATTCATCACCCTCCCCATCTAAATAATGATAATAATAATATGATGATGATGATTATAATGATAATAATAAGCCGGAGAAACACTAGCGTACGGGGGGGGGGGGGGGGCACGGTGCAGAATGCGGATATAGAGGCAGACTGCACCCATAATGGGTGGCCAGTGAAGAAACAAAAGAGAGAGTGGGGAGAAAAGAGAGAGAAAGAGAAGAGAGAGAGGAAAAGAGATGAACAGGAGCAAGAGAAAATGTTTTCTTTGGAGAGGGCTTTATACCAAGTTCAAAGAAAAAAAATAATATTTAAAACCTTCCGTAAAATGTGTTTTGCCTCTATGAGTTAAATGACAATGAAATAGCATAGTCTCCAAACAAGAATTCATGAATCAACACGTTGGCTTTATGGCCAGCACGTAATTGTTTTTAACGGCGAGATAGAAAAAAAACCACTAGTCTTTATTTCCATTAATTGCTGGAAAATTAAATTTGAATGGGGCGCCCATAACCCGTGTGTCTAGATTGACACCTCCAAGTTACCTCTCCGAAAAAAATCTCCTTTTTAAAAATTAATTCGGTTATATATACACAGATAAAACGTAATTGTTTAAAATGCTAACAGTTCATTACAATACAACAGCTTGTTGAATTTTTTAAACAGGCCTTATTACTTGTAAACAACCCTTTTAAACAGTGTTTTTATTGTGCATAATGATCCATTCCAAACATACAGGCCCGAATTCACAAAGGAGGTTTGAGCTCAGACCAAGGTTTTCGTACGTCATATGACGCGTTTTACGCATTTTTTACAAACCTGGTTTGTAAAGAACAAAAGGAGGTTTGGCGAAACAAAAGGAGGTTTGAGCTCAAACCTTGCTTTGTGAATTCGGGCCATAGAGTACAGTGTTAATTAGACACGAACTCAAGCTAAGCTAAATAACTTAGTTTAGCCGCAGAGGGAGCTAAACAAGTATGACGAATCTTTCAATGGGTTGAAAATTTTCTGGCTTGAAAAGGACGTCACGGTGTTCGGACACACACACTGCGTCTTCTCGTGGGCAAATCGTGCATCCGGGATTAACTCAATACGCTTTCATGCATGCGCTCTCAGGTTAAAAACACGCAGCTTCTCGCACATGAGAATTAATCCAAGGCGCCTTAGATCATGTTGTTCAAAGGGTATTATGTTCGATGTGCTTGCTCGATCGTAGTAGGTATATTTCTGTAGTGTCAGGCCAAGAACCTATCCGGAAGTCACCAGCATTCTACCCTAATGACTCCTATCTACACCAT